GTGTAGGAGGCTCCTCCAGCAGCCGCCTCGCTTGTCAGAGCAGATACATTAGAATCTTAGCGTGTTCTCGATCCTCACTCGACCAGAACGACTTCTGGGTCGAGTGAGGAATGATCAAATAAAGGAACTGGGATTTACCCATACACCAGTACTAGCCGAGGCCCGGTCACTGCGCCGACGCCCTGTCTGTTAAACTCCTTCCTCGACTTAAGTCTCAGTAGCATTCTGCACCTTAATGGTACTCAGCTTTTTCCTGGTACCTGTGTTTGTTATAGTTTCATAAATTATTTAATATGTGTTATTTGTCTGTTTGCTATATATTTATTTTAAGTCCACGTGCACCATTTATTTTTATTGGTGTTGTCCCATAAGCAAGCTGCTGATGTTGAAAAGGAGAACATGATTGTATAAGAGGAGCCATTCTCCTGAGTGTAGTGTGGTTTATTTAGCCTTTAATTTACCAGGAAAACCAAACTGAGATTAAAAATCTCTTTTACAAGAGCATCCTGTAATTTGCAGGCAGGAATAATATACACACAAAGCCTCAGGTTTTCTGTTCATAGTTTTTTTTTCCTCCAGTACATCTGTTTAAAATGATGTCATGGGGTAGGACTGGATAAGTCTGACTTCTTCCTACTCCATTCAAGCATGTACTATGTATAAGCAAATTGATATTGGATTGTGTGTAAAAATGTATGTTGTTATATTATCTGTTTTATATGCTTGAAAGAATAAATCAAATCAAATCAAAAAATCAAAACATTTCTCCATCATCTTATGGGTGTTTATCTCAACATTTCAGAGCTTACAAAGTGGTAGGAATGCTTAGATAAGTCACCCTCCCTCCAAAGAACAACTTACAAGTTGCAGTTGTAAGGTCAGTTTTTCTTTAGAGGCGTCAGGAAAGGGTTTGTTTATGTTGCCTGAAATGTACCACAGGACAGGATGAGTTTAAATAGAAGCAGTGTGTTTGTTTATTGTGTTGGAATTTGGAGATGATTAGGGCGATGGCTGAGCTGTGGGTCTGACAGTTAAACCCTAAGCTAAGTATTTTACATTTCAGCTTAAAGTTTGCTTTTTCAGTTGGCCTGTTTTTAAATACATCTCATTTTGTTAGACTAACTCACATTTTCATATTAACTTCATTATTAAAATTCTGTGACAATATAAAATTGAATTTGTTAAAACATCTGCAATAGGAAATCTCAAACAAAGAATTTGTGCTGTTGGTTTTTCCCTCTATTATAATATAATAATAACAGTAAGGTGTAGATGTTTGTAAAGTGTCCTCAGCCGAATTTTGTTGTGATTTGGCGCTATACAAGTAAATGTAATTGAGTTGCTGTTACTTCTGCCACCAGGTGTCAGCACCAGGTTGTAAATGTGACTAGTACTTCAAAAATACCACATCTGAATAGTACAGATGTGGGGCTGCGATGATCTGTTAATTGGCCTGTTTTGAAAATAAAAGATGAAAATAATCTAAAACCCAAAGATCATAGGAAACATGGCAAATAATATTTTAGAAGCTGTAATCAATATTTGGAAAACAATTTATTGGTTATCAGAGTACCTGATTAGTTTTTGTTCAGTCAGCCACAGACAGATTATGAGACAATGGGGCCCCAGGCACGGGGCCCCCACCCCTATGTTCATTGAATAATATACAGGTCAACAAGGGGGAGTAGGGAGGGGATGAGAAATCAAAAGTTGGTGGCTGAATGAGGGATGAAGGGAAGGATGGAGGGAGGAAGAGACGACATGAGTGTAGACAGGCTGGAGAATGAGGAGTGGGGTTTAGTGATTTTGCAATGCATTGAGCAGTGTTAGAGACTGTTAAAATGTATAAACACTAGTAACAAAATTTGAAAAATCATTTCATAGTTTTGACATAACTTTTTTCTCTATTTTGTGAAATTGTTTCTTCATTTTAAAAACTCAAACACATGCAGTCCACCTGAGTGGACAAGTGAAGAACTCCTTGAAAACTGCAAGTTAAAAAAAAAAAGTCAGTTTGTCTTTTTATGCCCAAAGAGTAATAAACACTGAGGAAAAAAATCTTGGCTGTGGCTTTCATAATCCATGCATGAAAGGGTTAAATTATTCATTTGTTAAAACACTAAACGATTAAAAAAAAAACCCTCAGACCAAACATACACTACAGTACAGTATGTGGACAGAGCTTTCAACATATTTTTGCCTATATAAAACTTTAAGTGTCGCATTTCCTGTTGTCTGTAATGTAGTTGTCAGGCAACACAACCCAGTCACGTTAATAAGCCACTCGACTTCCGAGAAATCTGGCAGAAAACCGTTAACAGGAAAATCGCATGGTAAAATTAGCATCAGTGAAGAGCAAAGCAAAAATGACTTCATTCAAAGTTACACACAGAATTGCACAGTGCAAAACACCACACACAGTTGCTGAGCAGCTCCTTCTCCCTGTAACTGTAGACGTGGTGTATGCTGGATGAGACAAGTGCTGCAGAATTGAAAACTATCCCGGCTAATTTCAGATAGAGGTCTGTGTCAACAGACTTCTGTGTAGGAGGCTCCTCCAGCAGCCGCCTCGCTTGTCAGAGCAGATACATTAGAATCTTAGCGTGTTCTCGATCCTCACTCGACCAGAACGACTTCTGGGTCGAGTGAGGAATGATCAAATAAAGGAACTGGGATTTACCCATACACCAGTACTAGCCGAGGCCCGGTCACTGCGCCGACGCCCTGTCTGTTAAACTCCTTCCTCGACTTAAGTCTCAGTAGCATTCTGCACCTTAATGGTACTCAGCTTTTTCCTGGTACCTGTGTTTGTTATAGTTTCATAAATTATTTAATATGTGTTATTTGTCTGTTTGCTATATATTTATTTTAAGTCCACGTGCACCATTTATTTTTATTGGTGTTGTCCCATAAGCAAGCTGCTGATGTTGAAAAGGAGAACATGATTGTATAAGAGGAGCCATTCTCCTGAGTGTAGTGTGGTTTATTTAGCCTTTAATTTACCAGGAAAACCAAACTGAGATTAAAAATCTCTTTTACAAGAGCATCCTGTAATTTGCAGGCAGGAATAATATACATACAAAGCCTCAGGTTTTCTGTTCATAGTTTTTTTTTCCTCCAGTACATCTGTTTAAAATGATGTCATGGGGTAGGACTGGATAAGTCTGACTTCTTCCTACTCCATTCAAGCATGTACTATGTATAAGCAAATTGATATTGGATTGTGTGTAAAAATGTATGTTGTTATATTATCTGTTTTATATGCTTGAAAGAATAAATCAAATCAAATCAAATCAAAAAATTTCTCCATCATCTTATGGGTGTTTATCTCAACATTTCAGAGCTTACAAAGTGGTAGGAATGCTTAGATAAGTCACCCTCCCTCCAAAGAACAACTTACAAGTTGCAGTTGTAAGGTCAGTTTTTCTTTAGAGGCGTCAGGAAAGGGTTTGTTTATGTTGCCTGAAATGTACCACAGGACAGGATGAGTTTAAATAGAAGCAGTGTGTTTGTTTATTGTGTTGGAATTTGGAGATGATTAGGGCGATGGCTGAGCTGTGGGTCTGACAGTTAAACCCTAAGCTAAGTATTTTACATTTCAGCTTAAAGTTTGCTTTTTCAGTTGGCCTGTTTTTAAATACATCTCATTTTGTTAGACTAACTCACATTTTCATATTAACTTCATTATTAAAATTCTGTGACAATATAAAATTGAATTTGTTAAAACATCTGCAATAGGAAATCTCAAACAAAGAATTTGTGCTGTTGGTTTTTCCCTCTATTATAATATAATAATAACAGTAAGGTGTAGATGTTTGTAAAGTGTCCTCAGCCGAATTTTGTTGTGATTTGGCGCTATACAAGTAAATGTAATTGAGTTGCTGTTACTTCTGCCACCAGGTGTCATCACCAGGTTGTAAATGTGACTAGTACTTCAAAAATACCACATCTGAATAGTACAGATGTGGGGCTGCGATGATCTGTTAATTGGCCTGTTTTGAAAATAAAAGATGAAAATAATCTAAAACCCAAAGATCATAGGAAACATGGCAAATAATATTTTAGAAGCTGTAATCAATATTTGGAAAACAATTTATTGGTTATCAGAGTACCTGATTAGTTTTTGTTCAGTCAGCCACAGACAGATTATGAGACAATGGGGCCCCAGGCACGGGGCCCCCACCTCTCAGACTGAGAGGTGTGGATGAGGTCATGATTTATAGTTAGTTAGTAAAAATTTTTTTAATCAATCTTTGTAGTCATTTTGCACCTGTTTTCACTTGTCTGTATTTTAGTTGTCTCATTTTGTCATTCTGCATATATTTTCAGTTGTGCAGTTGCATTGTCTCCTTTTACTGGATTTGTATCTTTTTAGTTTTACATCTATTGGGAAATATGCCGTTCTGCATAATGGTACTTTAAGTATATTTTGATGCTAATACTTTTGTATAGTTAAGTAACATTTTGAATGCAGGGCTTTTACTTGTAACTGTATTTTTCACTGTGGTATTACTACAACAATGCGTACCCCACCACAGCTAAGCTACCTTATATTCTTACGACTTGAAGCAATTTACACTCTGCTGGGCAGCTTGTGAATTTCCCACCAGGGTCAATAAAACCTGATTATACAGTGATTGGTTTTATTCACCTAGAGTTGTAAATGGAGGTAGAGGGCCCAACTTCAAATTTTTTCATAGGGCCCAAAACTGCTAGCGGCGCCCCTGGAGGTAGTGCAGTAAAATGAACAGTATTTGTCTCTGTAGTGACGTCGAAGTATGAAGTAGCAGAAAATCTTCAAGTAATGTGATAGATCAAAAAGTGTTAAGTGTAGTATTGAGTGAATGTACTTGGTTACTTTCCACCATAGTAAAGACGAACTAGATGTCTTTACTTTCCTTCTTACCTAACTAGGGTGCCGCCCCCTGACGTGACGTATGCGTGACGCCACGGTCTGACGGACAGGTAAGCCGACACCGCCCACCATATTGGGAGAAAACGGAAGTGGGGGAGAGTGCGAAACAGATGAAGAGATAAACGTGTGTGTTGAGTCAGTTTCCGAAAAAGGGCGTCCTCCTCGTGTGTTCTCATGTTTGCCTCGCCAGGGGAAGGGGCGGTCTCAGCTCCACGGCAGATCCGGAATTAACCCGTGTTCTCTTGGATCGATCGGTTTGTCGGTGAGCTCAGCGGCGTTGCGGTTCCAGCTGTCATACACAGAGAGACGCACTTCTCGATAAAACATTTAAAAAGAAAGAGGGAGACGCCGGTTGAACTGAAAGCGTCGACCGAGGGGGAGGGACGACAATCCGGAGCCGAAAAGAGGGATTAAAAGAAGAAGAAGAAAGAAAGTAGATCAAGGAGAAGGAGGAAAAGATGCCGCTGGCTCAGTTGGCGGATCCCTGGCAGAAGATGCCGTTGGGGGGCACGGCCGGAGAGGTGAGACACGCGACACGGGCAGTAACGTGGGAGCAGCGTGTAGAGACGTGCACTAAAGCTCACAGGATGGCAGGTCACACCATAACACCAGGGTCACTGTGTGCAGCTCCTCTAAGTTGGATGGAAATACACCACGAAGTGTCCTGAGGTCACTGAGCACGCACACGGGCTGTAGTACTAGAAAATGAAATTAGTACTACAGGACACATAGCTACCGTAGTCACCAAAATATCTTTAGTAACGTCAATGGTGAGAGTAACGAAGTACAGTTTTGAGATATCTGTACTTGAGTATTTGTATTTCCTGCTACTTCATACTTGGATATTTCTAAGGCAAATGCAGTACTTTTTATTGCACTACATGCATTGATAACTTTAGAAAACTAAAACCAAAATACAGTATGATCACAATACTCTTCTGATCCGTGGTGGGGAATTCACAACCTTCTCAGCAGGATGTAATCTACTTCAAATTAGCTCCACCTTTACCTGCTGCAGCAATAAAGTAATGGATACAAAGCCATGAAGTGCAGTCCTATGACAGTAAGGTCATTTGTGGCTATAACAAACCACGGAGATAAACGAAATGATCCACTATGTGATTAGAAGCAGGTTGAGGTGACAGAGGCGTCACTTTACTGTGGGTCAGCAGCAGCACGATTCTATAGAAACGTTAATCGGATGCCAGATTTGATTAAAAAGCTGGGTGAAGTGCACTAAGATCAGTCTGAGGAAGGCAAAACAAGGACCATAAATCCACCTTAATGTCACTGAAATGTGCCACGTGTGCTCCTCTGCAGGAGCATTGTGGCCATCTCACAGTGCCAGTTGTGAGGCTCAAAATGTAATAAAGCACATAAATAGTTTTGAATAGAGTTTTATAATTGTGCATTTTGAAGCAGCGGCTTCCCTTTGAGCCGCCTCAGACAAGAAGGTGGCATGAAATTAGATTAAAAAGCCATGGTGCTGTACTCACTATCGCAGTAGTACAGGAGACACCAGTACCACAGTAACCAGATATGTACTACACATGTGTAACTTGTTTCTTCCTCATTGCACTAGTGTGTCTGAAGCAGCATTTTAATACTTCTGATGGGTACTGCAGTATGCTTGTGTACTCCTGTGATCCTCTGCAGTGTTTTAATCTCATTGTAATGACCTTGCAGAAGCTTAGCCATGTCGCACTACTGATTAGTGAGAATAGAAGATATGAAACGTGTATTGTTTGGATTTATTAATTATTCTGCAGAGTATTTTCCCAATTAGTCGTTTTTTATTTAACCATACAGTCTATAAACCATCAGAAACCAGTGAAAAGTATTAATTTTATTACTGACCCTGTAAAAGCACAATCATATGTGAATAGAACAGCCGAGACACAAACAGCTTCCGTGTTGTTGTTGTCGTCTCTCCAGTTCTTCTTTTCCTCAAGTTTTTGAATGTTGATGTGAGCAGGAGGCGGCGCCACTGCAACCGCATGATTCAGGAAGAGCTGACGTCTTTGTGTGTGTGTCCACTTCCTGTATGAGGCGTCATGACAGCTGCATGCTGAAATGTCTGCATTTGGGTGTGGGTGTGGGTGTGCGTGTCTTACTCTGTAGGCAGATTGTGCATAATCAGGTGCAGAAATGTACTGAGTCACCCCAGCCATCTCCTTTCTGTCTCGGCTCTGAACAAGCTCATACCTGCTTGCAGTCCCACGCTGTCTCGTTCCACCTCATTACCCCGGCTGCGCTCAGTGGTGCTGACCTTTGACCACTGTGTGCACCTCCAAGCCTTTTGATGTGCAGCAGTGTGTCTGATAGCGGAGTGAATCTGTTGTACCAGCTTTTCTAGGCCACCTCAGAACAAGAATACCCACTCATGTACACAAGGAGTGAGTGGCATAGGTTTTGTCTAAGATCATTTACACAAAGTGCACAGCGCTGTTGCACTAGGCCCGTTTGGTAGTCCGTCCATGACTCTGACGACTCAGATCTTACTACACAAAGGAAGTGGCTTAGAAGAGCTGGATAGAAATGGAAACCGGTCGAAAAACATCCCCCAGGGCTGCAGCTAATGATTTTCATTACTGATTAATTGATTGATTTTTTTTTTTTTATGTCATCAAATAATGAAAAATGCCATCATATTTTCCCAGAATGGGCAAATTACTTGTTTCATCCAACCAGCAGTCCAATACCCAGGTTTCAATTTAATATCACATATGACAAGTAAAGTTATTAAAAATTAGCACATTTAAGATATTAAAACTGGTAAACATAAAATGACAGAAGTGATTGGACTAATGGATTATTTACAACATTTGTTTAAGGCTGAACTAGGCTGGTTATTATTTGAACAAGATGAGATTTGATTGAAGTTGATAATTATAAAAACTGTTGCTCAGTATGAAAGTTTATTCTGGAAATTTACACTTTTTATATTCCACACAAACATCGATCATGTTCATGCTTTAGGATCAATTAATTGGCGCGTATCTGCCCCAGTGTGCACAGTAACAGAGATAAAGGTATGGAATGAATGGGCAACAGAGAATCAGGCACAGCTGGTCTAAACATTTCACACATTCTGCCTCCCTACCTGTGCAGCTCATACCCAGGGCTACTGGTGTAGATGTAGAACAACTGTTAAGACGCAATGTTGGATCTTTCAGCTGTCAACATGTTGCCCACCCTCAGTAATAAAGAGCTTCAGATGAAACCTGTTGACACTGTCATCTGTGGATCATCTGGACTAACCAGTACATTGTTTCTTCAGACATATGTTGTGGTTTCTTTTTTAAGAATCTCACTTATTTCCATTCATCATATTTGGGTGGTGCAGAATTCCCAGAGACGTCTGAGGGCATAACTCATCAACAGTCAGGTTGTCAGTTCATTAGGAACACGAAGCAAAGTCGGTTTAATCCTGCAGTAAATCCACGTTCATGAAGGTGATGTTCAGGACTGTTTCATTTTGGAGGCTGGAGTTTGTGCTGCTGTCGACCTTATTGTGTTAAACACAGAGCTGTTTTTGTTATTTATCCAGGCCTCAGTGATATAAACGAGGTGGACAAAATAATAGGAACACTTTATAAAATCCAAAAATGATGCTTCATGAAGGAGGGTTTGCTGCAGGATAGCTGGTGTAGCTAATACACTGACAACCGGGTGGAGGTGAAATCATGTTGATAAAGTCCCAGATTTGTAATTCAAACAAACCAGCGCCAGCTGCCTGACCAGCTGGCCTGGGTATTGTTTGCAGACTTATACCAATACAGTAAGTAAACAAGACTGCAAATGATTTCATGCACCATCAGAAAGGTTTGCTAAAATCCGCTTGACTGTTGACTAGAGACACTAGTATTAAAAGATCAACAAATACAGGCAAAAACCCTGTGTTCAGATTGAAGCCAACATCTGACTGACTTCATGGCAACATTATACTTCCTATACTTGTAAGCGTGATATTTCACGAACAATTTGAGGGAATTGCATCAAATTTGGCACAAGTGTCCACTTGGACTCAGGGAAGAGTTGATTAGATTTTGGTGGCCAAAGGTCATAGTGAACTCATGTCAGTCCCGTTCCCGATGGGAAAACAAATATGACGAGTAGAGCCGGTACCAGGCGGTGGAAAAGGGGCTTAAGTTCTGCAAAAAGGTTCCTGTTCCCCAGGGAAAGTTCCTTTGTGGAAACGGGGCTTCTGTCTCTTCTCATTATAGTCCATCACTGTTCACTCCCTCTTCCACCCCCCTGTGCAGGTTTTAGGCCTATTCTCCTGATGCTGCACTTAGGGAAAAGTAAATAATCACCATAATCACTTTTTTGTCAGGCAGTAGTATCAGTGTCTGAATCACAGCTGTTGTTCCAGCAGGGAAGCAGACAGGCTGCTAATCTTACATAATGCTGGTTCGTATCTGCTGTTTTTGGTTTTCTGTTTTGGCTGAGCAGGCGAGGTAGACGCAGTCCGAGCTTGGTGGCCCTGCTGAGATATCTCACACTGTGACCGTCTGGAATCTTTTTTCTTTAGTTTTAATTTGAACTCCGGTCCATCACAGGGAACATGAGGGAGACGATTAAATAAACGACGCCTACTCGTTGGTTGGCTTGCTTCAACTCTGAATGCTTGGTAGTGTAGGCAGCACAGTCCTTGATGTGACAAATGGATGAAAACCTTTACCGACCTGATCTATATACAATTTTTATGCACGGTTTGTTCAGTCTGAGCTGTAGGTAGATGTCTGGTTAGGATGTTAATTTCAGTGTGATCTCTATGGAAGCATCTGTGTTTCTCTACTTCAGGTTTTCTCTGCTGTATGTTTAGAACTTTTTCAGGTCTTTCCAAAGGTCACAAACTGCCTACCAGCACCTCTAAAGCTCACTGAATAACATGTATTGTTTTGTTCGTTTCATCTGTACAGAAAAACAGAGCAGGAAAATGGCGTGCTGCGTTATGTGCTGGACGATTTCTCAGCTGTAACTTCACATTAAGGCTGCAGACATGAGAGTGGCATTGGATGCTGCATCTTTTGTAGCAAGAATAAGCATGTTACCAAAACATACAAAATGTGTGTCCTGTTTCTGGACATTTCAGCAAACATACAGTGGTCCCTTTGTTAGGTACTTGTTCAGTCTAATGCAGTCTGATACAACCATCCAGCCTCGAGCCTTTTATAAAGGTTGTAATGAACAGTTGTTGCTGACAGTGGAAATTTGTAAATTCAGATATATTTTTATCACTGAGGCAATTGTTAAAGTTGTTCTTGAACTGGAATAAAAATAATAATAATAATAATAAACACAAATTTCAAAAATCGGAGCAATAAAAACTTCCATCAAGATACAAATTGCATAAAACAACAAGTTAAACAATGTCCCTTTGGGGCAAATAAAACAGATTAAACACCAAAGGCCTGTTTAAAAAGGTGAGTTTTTAAAGTTGACTTAAAAAGCTCCAGCTTGGTTATGGATCGAAGCTCTAGCGGTAAAGAATTCCATAGTCTGGGGCCATACACAGCGAAAGAGCGGTCGCTCCATTTTTTTATATCGTGACCGTGGGACAACCAAGGACAAGTGCTCTAAGGAGCGCAGAGCTCTGTGTGGAGCATAGATAGACAGCAGATCCGACAGGTATGGAGGAGCGAGGCCATATGTACGTAGCCTTAAAGACGAATAGCATCATAAACTCAACTCTCCACTGTACTGGCAACCAGTGTAGAGAGAAAAGAACAGGGGTAATGTGGGCATACCTGGGAATGTTCGACAGCAGCCGAGCCGCAGTGTTTTGGACCAGTTATAGCGTCCGAAGCAAAGACTGAGAAATTCCAACGTAGAGGGCATTAGAGTAGTCTAGTCGTGATGTGATAAAAGCGTAGATGGCTTTTTCTAAGTCTGCACGTGATGAAAAAGCGTGGATGGCTTTTTCTAAGTTTGCACGCGATAAGAAAGGCTACACCTTCGTTAAAAGTCTCAGCCACAGCCCTGATCTTCCTATCAAAAT